GTGGCAGTAAAGCCAGAAGGGGAAGCCAGACAAAAGCTTGGATAAAAGTCAGAATTTCAGTGCCTCTTGCTGATGGTTCATGGGAAAGTAATGATTCTGTGTTTAACTTTTGATTTTCATAAAGCACTAGGCATGTGCTTGTTTCTTGACATTACTGTTTGTGGATATATATTTTACAGCCCACAGAACATGAGAAACGGCTGATTTTTGTGCCTGGGTTTCACTCTTTCAGGTAGATCCTTGTTAGAGGCTCCGAGCAGTCTAATGAAAATGGTGTTTAATTGCAAAGCTTTGATTTCTGCTGCTGTTCACCACGGCAGCCTAACTCCTTGTCCTTCTGAGTTTGTGGTGCGGAGGGCATGCTCATCCTCCAGCGCTGCCAGCGCGAGGCCTCCGGCTCCGCCGTCCAGCACGTTTCCTCGCCTTGCGTAGAGCTCAGCAGAGATTTCTTCGTGAAGACTGGAATGTGTTTATATAATATTTTATATATTATTTTAGGCTCCTGCTTACTCAGATGTAGGCAAGTGATTAACCTCTCATTCACCGTCACTAGAGGAGCTGTGAAATTGCTATAGCAGACATCAGGTCAGCTGGATCTAAACCAGTTTCTGTTTCCCCTCCCTGGAAAGTCATCCTTCCTCGCTTTCTCGGCGAGCGTGACTACCAGGTTAGAGCGGGCTTTCCAGGCCAGGAGCGGGTAGTGGCAGCGCTGAGTTGTAAACCACGTTGGTCAAGCACTCCTTAACTGAGCCGTGCTTAGGTAGGTGCTCTTTTGCGTGGGGTTTTTTTTTCTCTGGCGGCTGTTGCGAAAGGGGTGGTGTGAGAGGCTCCATCTCTGCGAAAGCTTGGCTGCCTGCAAGCACGGACCTCCACGAGTGCCTCTGCCAGGCTGCACCGTGAAAATGCCGCTGCAGGAGCGCTGGGCAAAGCTGTGAAAAGGAGAGACCGACCTGCTGCACTAAATCACACGTCCCCTGGGGACGCGGCTCTGCGGTTCGCATCTTCAAGTGGCGTTGCTTTATTACAGCACCATTGTGCGTGGTCCTCTGGGGAGGAAGCAAACGATCTCGAAAACAATCTGCTGGCAGCTCAGGCTGAAGTATTTGAGTTTTTCCAGGGCTCTTTTGCTGTGTCACTTTTGCCTTTTGCGTTCCAGCTTGAAGGTTGTTGTTCTTTCACTGTCAAAGTGCACGAAAGCGCTGGTAATGGAGTCTGCTCCAAGGACGTAGAAGGCAGCAACCTAGTGCGAACGAGAGATACCGCGGAACGGTTTTGTTTTGGTGCAATCTGCTGCCTTATCTGCGTGTGATGCAGACGGGGCAGTTTTCGCGAGGCTTGGAGGCTGCGTGGTGGCGTGGTTTTTTTTGTCCTTTATGAAATCCGCCTCGTTATTGTGATTAGAACGCTAACGTAACTCCTGGCAGCGTCAAATCTTACTGCTAGCAGCGATTTCCCTCCAAAGCTTGATGCGGTGCTAACAAGCAAGGAAGATCTTGTGCGTCCTGTTTGCACGGAGCTCGGAGGACAGCGCGTTCCGCGGGAGGTGCCAAGGTAGCGCGGCAGTTGTATATAAGGTGAAGAAGCATTGTGTGTGTGCATTAATTTGTATTTTAATGGTGTTCAGAAACGCCAGCTGCAGTGATGGCATGATGATGTTAAGTTCTTTTCTATTTTTATATATATATCATTTATATATATGTATGTGTATGCATATATGGGTGTGTGTAGAGATTTATTTTCTTTCTCTTGAGGAAGAGTCCTTGTCCCGACGATGACCTGTGCTTCAGTCGCTGCTGTACTTGAACGTGATCTCCTTACCTACCTCTTGTTTGTTCAGTTTGTAGGTGGCAGAGACAGGGTGAAGCTCTGTGTGGGGCCGGGGAAGCTGATGGGGGATCCCTGCGCGTAACCCAGGATGGACTGGCTGTGACGGCGTGCCTTAGCTGGAGAGGTAGTTACCATGAAGAGTTCCTGCAGAGCTGGCCTCCACAGGGAACCGCTCAACTCCACATCCTCCACCTTCTATCAAGTCAAACGGTATGAACAGACCCGTTGGTCTCCCTGTAGTCAGGAATTTAGCACCAATTTAGCCTTCTCCTTACTTCCTCGTTGTCATGCACGTCGCTCAAGTGTTTGGTCTAAATTCTTACTCGAAGGTAGCATTGAAGTGAGATGTTGTAATGGCTTAAGGGCAGAAATGTTCTTTGACATTTTTATTTGATAATGACAACTACAGATTCACTGCAGCTGGTACTATACTTGGAGAAATCTTTGGGTTTTTTAGCAGCAGCTGTAAATTAATTTGGGAACATGGCTTTGAAGTAAAACTTAATTGGAGAATGGCTTGTCATAGCCTTTAAAATACGCAGTCAGCTTAAAGCAAGTGGAAGTACTGGCAATCGTTGCGGTTTGTCTTTACTATGGAGTAAGTAATTAGATTAGCTTAAGCTCAGATTTTGTATTGCTCATTCTCCTGTGTCTCTTATTAAGAAGAAATGCACGATTGATCTCAAACACTTGTGCTTATGTGACAATTAAGTGAACGCCTCTCACTGTGTCTCGTTATAGGAACACCGTACAGAACAACTTGTCCTTATGCAAATGCAGGAACATGCCAGTTTGTTTGAGTTCAAGCTACTTGAAAATATATCTCTTTTTTTTTCCTTTCTTTTTCTGAAACCAAGACTCTTTAAACTTCCTCAGTCTGGAGGAAGAGAGCCAGCTTGCTGGTTTCCAAAAGCTGTGTGGGTTTGAAGCAAACTTTAAACTTTGTTCTTTGTGGTTGTGTAGACAGCATATCCTCGCTACGGTAGTCTCTTCATAATTTAGTGCTGGAAAAGACTTCCTGGGTCACCCAGCTCCTTGCTCCAAGCAGTGTCTCATAATTCCTTTTGTAAATTTAGAAGTCCAGCCTAAAAACAACTGCATCTTTCCTTCTCTCCTTCAGCAGATTACACCATTACTGAAGATGACAGACCTAGCTGTGCGATGAGGAACCTTCTTTTGATTCTCAGGCTGAAGGTTTATGTCAGCTTATACACTTGTTTGAGCTCGTGCTCCTTTTCACTGAAGGATCACTTCTTCTTTTCAGTGGTTTAACTCTCTTGCTGTAAAATGCAGTTGTGTACTCTCACTTGTGGTTTTGCTGTGCTAAATGACCCAAGCGTTACCTAGTAGCTTCTCGAAAAATGACTGTCATCATCGTTCTCAGCCTGGGTGAATCTCCTCTGAGTCACGACAAAGAGCGTACGTGGCACTCCAGAGCACATCTGGCAAGAGGGCTTCTCACTGATGCCTTGAATCTATCATTTAATACCTTAATACCCCTCCAGGTGCCTTTGTTTCGTAGATGTGTCTGTGGTGGCCAACGCACCTTTCTTAGTTACCTCGGGAACTTCTTGGCCTTCAGCTTCCTGGCGCATCACCGTCCGTATTTCAGAACTCTCCTCCCCTGCTGTTACTCGGTGCTTTGTGCCTCTGCCGCCGTGGTGATGCCTTTCATTTCCCTGAGCACGCCTGTAGCGTTGGTGCTGAGGTCACTCTGAACAAAATCAGAGGGTCCCCAAGGCTGGTTCTTCAGGCATGTCTTTGGTTTCTGGGCTGGTATTTTCTTACTCGGCATCACCTGGAGCTGTCTGCTGCTCAGCCAGCTCCTTTGTCTGTTTTCCCATTCCTCTGCCAATCTGTTTTAACTGATAAATCTCCTTGTGCCTTCTGAAGTCCAGGTGAGTAGGACATAGTGCATTTGTCTAAAAAAAAAAAAATCACCTTTTTTGAGAGCCTTTAGGTTAGTCTGGCATATTGAACTATTCCCTCTTCCCCCTTTTTCTCTGTGTTGCCTTAATCCTCTTCGTTTGCAGAGCACCTTTATTCTGAAATCAGACTGCCAGGCCTGGAGAGGCTGCAACTTCTCTCCCTTCTTCTCCCCTGCAGTGCCACCTCCAATGTGCCACATGTTTTATTAAGTCTTATTGTTGCATTTCAAGAGGTTTATAAATCTTGCTTCTTGGCCTGCAGTTTACGAGCCCACCTATTTTGGGTTCTAAAACAGACGAGCCGCTCCTCACAATTGTCACGAAGCCTTTTAATCCTCCCCCGGCTACTGTTCATGTTCAGATTAACCCCTGGGCTTTTGCCATCGTGATCACCCTTATTGCCCCTCTTAGACAAAGTCAAGTTTAGTATTTTGTGCTGTACCTAGAGTACTTTTAATCTCTGCCCTGACCTTGCTTGCAGCCCTGTTTCTCTCCCTGCCCTTTCTGACAAACTGAAGAGCCTTTTACTATTTCTTTGTTTTTAAGTATCTTCGCAGGGACTTAATGCTGCACCAGTTCTCACGTTCATTGCTAGACTTTTTGACTTGTAAGATACAACTTTCCAAGAGATGTGGCTTGAAACCTGTGTCTGCTCCTCATATCCTTCCCAAAGGAACGTGTTCAGCTGGAGTTTCTTCTGTTCTTGTCTGGGATGTGTTCTGGAAAATGAAAACGCCTTTTGAGTTTCCTGGAGAATGCCTGCTGGGTTGCACTGTCTGCAGCGAAATCCTCCGTGCCACCGTGCAGCTGACTTCATGAGCCGGTTCCTTTCGGTCTTGAGTTTCAGAAGAACAACCTGATGTCTTGCCTTCAGATCTACTTTTGCTTGTTCTTCCTTTGAACTCTGAATCTCTTCATGACAGCGCAGTCCACAGTTAATTTCTGCAACCTTTCATGTGTTCTCATTACGTGTGCACTAAGACAAAGACTCAATAGCATCGCTTTGTGTTGGCTCGTTAACTGTTTGAAGAAATTTGTTGCACCAGGATATCCAGAAGGATCTTGGCCCTCTTGCAGTTAAGAAATTAGAAAATAAATGTTCAATCAAGGAAGACAAGGAAACCTGTCACTACCTTTGTATCTCTGCTGCTCTGAGCAGCTTTCAGCAGAAGCCCTAAAAAAACACCTCATTTATTTTTTCTTACTGTCCTTCTCCCAAATGACTTGTGTGATTCCTTCTCATCTTAGCCTGCTCCACCACGGGCGGGCGTGCTATCCCATCGTCTTTCAGCTACGTGTTTCTGGAGCAGCTTAACCTTGAATATCAAGTCTTTCAGGTGATTTTGTTCCCCTCTGCTTTGTCATCCCTGTGTGATCTGTAGTGTGGCTGGGAAGTAGGGGACATGGGTTTGAGCTTCCTCAGGCTCCACAAAGAATTGCTTCTATGTCACTCACTTCACGGTAAGTGCTTTTGCACAAAAGACTGGCAGAGCAACGGCACTTCTTCCTGGGCAAAATCCAGAAAGTAGCGGAGGATACCGCGCGTTACGCGGAAGGGTGTGTGCGTGTGTGTGTTTACCTTAAAATGGGTAGGAGCCCTCCAACTGGAGTAGTCTGTGCGTGTTGGGCTTGGGCGTGCAGCCTGTCACCCAGAACCTCTGCTTGGTGAGTGTGGTAGATTGTACGCATTACGGATTTTATAGCTGTGCCTGCATGCTGCTGTATGTGGGTATCGTCTCCCCAGAGTCGGGTTATTTGAACACCTGACGTGTGAATGAACGGCGAGGGATCCAAAGTGAAGAGTCGGGCGCCTACTTTGCATTTAGCTCCTCAGCTCTTTTGGGCCAGCTCTGCCCCATGTGTTCTGGGGTGCGTTAAGAAGAGTGTGGCCAGCAGGTCGAGGGAGGTTCTCCTCTCCCTCTACTCTGCCCTGGTGAGGCCCCATCTGCAGTGCTGTGTCCAGTTCTGGGCTCCCCAGTTCAAGAAAGATGAGGAGCTACTGGAGAGAGTCCAGTGGAGGGCTACAAAGGTGGTTAGGGGACTGGAGCATCTCTCCTCCGAGGAAAGGCTGAGGGAGCTGGGCTTGTTCAGCCTGGAGAAGAGAAGGCTGCGAGGGGACCTTATAAATGCCTACAAATATCTGCAGGGTAGGTGTCAGGAGGACGGGGCCAGACTCTTTCCAGTGGTGCCCAGCGACAGGACAAGGGGCAACGGGCACAAACTGAAGCAGAGGAAGTTTGTCCCGCCTGCGCTGGGTGACCCGGCTTCAGGAGGGCGTTGGACTGGGTGATCCCCAGAGGTCCCTGCCAACCCCGAACGCTCTGTGATACGGCTTGCTCCTGCTTTCCCCCAGGCTGGCTCCTTGTGTGGAGAGCGCTGCTTCAGCGGTCGATGCCTTCTGTTTACCCTCCCGGCCCGCGATAGTCCTCGCTTGCTTTGT